TGCATGCACCAGTAGTTAGATTAGAACAAAACAAGATAGGGATTTTCACAGTGCATTTCTATACAATGCCTGTAATCTATAGATAACAGAACCGATTAGCTCAGGGGTGGATCTTTAACTACCAGGCCCAGGGTGCGGCGCCGGGCTGTCTGCCTGTGGATTTCATTTCTGCCTTTTAGTTTTTACTTCTTCTTTCTTTGGAGGCACAAATTGGGCATAAGATGATATGAAGGGTGGTCTCCTTCCTTACTTATAGTAAGAGTGTGTAGTTTACATAATGTTGATTCTTTGGAATTTGCTGGGGTTTCATTTTTGTCTTTGATACGAATAGTTTTTGTTTCATATATACTTGAAAATAATTTTTATTTTGTATTTGGTGGATGGGAAATTCTCTATAAAGTAACTGTATCGAGTTGATCAATTATGCTCCCCAAATTTTCTACAGTTTTGCTTATTTGTCTGCTTGAGCAATCTGTTTCTGAAAGAACATTACAAATTTTCAACTATTGTGCTTTTTTTTTTTTATAACTGAGTTATGACATAAATACAGAGAGGTATAACAATATAAATGTAGGCCAGGCGCAGTGGCTCATGCCTGTAATCCTAGCACTTTGGGAGGCCGTGGCCGGTGGATCAGTTGATGTCGGGAGTTCAAAACCAGCCTGGCCAACATGACAAAATCTCGTCTCTACTAAAAATACAAAAATTAGCTGGGCATGGTGGCCATGCCTGTAATCCCAGCTACCCGGGAGTCTGAGGAAGGAGAATCGCTTGAACCTGGCAGGCAGAGGTTGCAGTGAGCCGAGATTATATCACTGTACTCCAGCCTGGGCAACACAGTGAGTGAGACTCCGTTTCAAAAAAATAATAATAAAATAAAGTAAAATAAAATAAAATAAATGTAAAGCTCAGTGAATTGTCAGAAAGTTAAAATATTCAGGTAATTACTACCCAGGTGATAAAATAGTACAATACCAAGACTCTAGAATTGTTTTGGTTCCCCCTCGCAATCACTAGAAATCTTATCTCCAAAGATAACCAGAGAGTTCTCAGAGTGTAGAATTATTTCACCTGTTTTTAAACTTTATATAAATTGAACCATGCAGTATATGCTTTTTTCTTCTGTCTTCTAACATTATGTGAGAATCACCCATATTGTTTTTTATATCACCATTGGTCGTCCTTTTTTTATAGCATTGCAGTATTTCACTGAATAAATACAATGATATATATATCTGTTATACTGTTAATGGACATTTGGTGATTTTGAAATGAATAAAGGTACTAGGAATGTTCTCATCCATGCTTTTTGACATATAGATGCCCTGCATTTTTATTGGGCATATTCCCAGGAGTGTTTTTTTTTGTTCAAAGGGTATGTGTCTGTTTAACTTTAAAAGATACCATCGAATAGCTTTCTATAATGGATGCACCAATTTGTGTCCTGCCAGCAGCAGTGTAAGAATTCTGGTTGCTCCATGCTGTCAGTACTCCTGGTATTGCTAGTCTGTCTCATGTGAGCCACTCTCAGTGGGAATTGATGGCTTATTGTGGTTTTGGTTTTAATTGCCCCAATAACTAACGCTGTTGAGCAGATTTTCACAAATGAATTGACTATTTTATTAAACATCTGTTCAAATTTCTTGGCCATTTTTTATTGGGTTGTCTGTCATTTTCCTATTGATTTATACAAACTTATTATTTATTCTGGATATGAGAGCTTTGCAAATTGGAAATATTTTGTCCCATTTTAAGATTCACTTTTATAATCAAATAGTATATTTTGATAAACTCAAATTCTTAATTTTAATATATTACACTATATTTTTCTCTTTTTTATATTAGGGTTTGTGAGTCCCTTTTAAGAAATCCCTGCTTACACAAAGTTTAGAAATATATTCTGCATTTTACTCTAGATCAGCACTGTCCATTAGAATTATAAAGTAAGCCACAACTTTGAACCACAGATATGATTTTAATTTTTAGTAGCCATGATAAAAAATAAAATAGGCAAAACTAATATAAATAATACAAATTATTAATAACTTTTTTGTTATTTTTCTTTAAGACTTCAAATTCTAGTCAGATTTCAAGAGCTGATAACCACATGTGACTAATTACTATTATATCGGGTGACCCATTTCTAGAAACGTTCATGATGCGCCGTTCAAATTTAGCTCCATGATCCATGTGCAATTGACTTTTGATGTGTTATTAGGTAGCATACCTGGCAAGGAAACTAGGTAGCTTACAGAAGCAAACGAAGATCTTCAGGATCCCGAGCCAATCTGTGTCCTTTAGGAACTAAGATAGGGCATGATAGTACTCGGACTTTCTGAATATCTCTAATTTCTGCATATTCAATCTTATTCCATGAGGATATTTGCAACACGTCAAGGAACATGGCCACCGGGTTGTTCTCAGGTCACATCTTTACAATCTCCAACAACAGATGAAAAAAGCTAATTCTAATTCTGTTTAGAAATATCCAAGCTCAGGTAATATTCCAGTACTCTGCAGCCAGAACAATGGATTATTTTTGGCCAGGCCTAGATTATATACCTATATTTATAACCATGGGACAGAAATTATTACTAGAAAATGGTAGCTACCACTATACATTATGTCTATTTCTATTATGAGATGCTGTGAGGAAGCTAGGACTATTTCTTGTACACAGTAAGCAGTAAATAAGTTTTTGCGAATTGCACTAGGATAGTCCCATAATTTGACAGCTATGCTTAAAATAAGGCCTAATACAGGACGAAGAATATGTATTCATTTGCTTTGAACACATTTTTATGTTACACAAGTATTTGAGGACCATCCAAACTCTTAGTTTACAAGCTTAGAAATGGCGATTTTAAGAGTTCAAGAAAATTCAACATTTTCTTTATAAACTGCATTTTCTACAGATTTTGGGGTGCTTAGAAGAGGTACACTGCTGCCCTTAGTGGCAATGTGCAGCTTTGCAAACATTGTGAGTGGTGGCCTCTATCTTACATGAAAGTATAATCCTTTTGGTTTTTAGTCTAACATCAGCCATTTTTCTTCACAATTTTAAAAAAATACTGTGAGGAGGAAAATGTTATTTAATATTGAAAGAATAATCGTCCTTTAGAATTCATTCAGCTTCCTATCTGAGTGGGGTCTTTGGCTCAACTTATTAGTTCAGTTATTTATAACAAAATTCAAAATTAAAGTGTGACACTGTGTTAATTAGAGAAAGAAAGTTGCTGTTCCCTGTGATTCTTAGCGCCCTACTTTTACCTCATATGTCTTCAGAGCTAATATGTTTCTCTTATTGGGAAACAAAAGCCACTCCCCCTTAGGTACATCAATCAGGAAAATTGTGTGAGTTGAAAGGAGATGTAGGAGGAGGAAGAGAATTGGAAGGAAAAGAATCTCTATTTAGCTTCCTTCTTTAGGAGTTTTAGCAAGATTGCATGAGGAAAATGACCCATTTTTGTTTTTTGAAAGATAACAAGTGAGAGAAAGTATTAAATAAAAACTTTAACTTGGTGTAGCCAAAGCCAATTATATAGAATTTAGATAGATAATTTAAAAAGGAGAAAATGTTGCCTCAATTATTTGGATGGCAAAGCATTGAGGGTGGTGTCATTTTCTCAGTTGCCAACACAACAGAAAATGGTCTGACCTTTTCGATGCTACTTTCCTAATGGCAATTTCTTATTTCCTTCTTTGATCATCCTGACCATACTTGACTCCCTTCTTTCCCTGCCAACCTCTCGCACACAGGCTTTTTGTTTGTGGTTTTTGTTCAAAGGTTCAGAAGCATATTTAATGGTGCATATAAAGCTAGCTTCAGGGTAATGATAACATTCAATTCTTCTCACTGCATTCAAAACCACATGTAACTATAGCCAAAAATGATATCTAGGATTTCTTTTCTTTTCGTATTTATTTTTTCTTGACACTTGGTTGAGAAAGTTAGAAGGGTTTAAAAATGTTTTGCCTTTTTGACAATTACAAAGTAAATATTTTAATCTTAGCTTACATGTTTAATGCATTTTAAATTTATAATCATAATATAACAATAGCTTATATAATGTGGAAAAAGTCATACATAATATCATTACTTTCTGTAACTACTATTCTGTGTTTTCCTTTACAGTCTTTTGCTATATGCATATTTTTATGTAATTGTAATTGTGTAATTTTAAACTTAGAAAATTTTTTTGGTAATTCAAAGGAACAATATGTATCTTTTACATTAGTTAAAAAAAATCACCTTGTGCTAATGAGAATCAGAAAATGACTATTTTCTGGAGTCATGGTGAATTTTATATTTGTCACACTCAGATGTGATTTAAAATGTTGGTTTATTATGAGTAGTAAGAAATAATTTTATCTTTTAATGTTGAGGAAGGCTTACAGTTGTATGTATGTGACACAGTATAAAGTGTAGAATCTTTTTAATTTTGTAAATGTTAGATTTGACTGTATTGCCTTATAAGAAACTCAAAATAAAAAATAAAAATAAGCATTACACAAATTATGAAACTCAAACTGTGTTGTTATAAAAAATGCAGCTTTAGGATACATTCTACTCACAAAACAGTCACGTGTAAAATGTTTTTATACATGCATTAAAGAAAAAGAAACTCCTTAAAATGAAGTAACTATTTCCTGTTTCATTTTGTTTGAACAGCTTTTGTTGCTCACTACGAGTTGCTTTAAATCTCTGGGAAGGTCTGTTCCGAATTTACTACTTCTGGATTGGCCAAAGTCTCTTTAAAGTGTGTGCTTTGTTCTCTAAAAAGCTTAGGTCAGTTGAGCAACAAGCTCCTCCTGTTTTTTTTTTTTTTTTTTTTTTTTAAAAAAAAGAGCTGAGTAATGCTGGAGCCTTCTCATGTGGCTGATGCAAACCTGGAGAATTTGCATCATCATTTAGCTGTAGTAAGTTGGTGTGACAGGCAGGCGCTTAAATACAAGCCCATGAGGAAGCTGAGCTGGTTTGTAATGATAGGGCGGCAGCAGCAGCAGCAGCAGCGGTAGAACGAGGAGGTGGAGAACTGGGAGCACGATGCATACACAGGTGTTTCTGATTAGTAATTAGCCGCTGTGAAGGATAAAGCACACCTTTGGGTTTTTACCTGTGAACACTATAGGGCTGAGAAAGACAGTCTGAAAGCAAAGAAAGCAAAGAGGAAGACCTCGATCAGTAACACCAAGAGACACCAAAGTTGAAAGTTTTGTTTTCTTTCCCTCTGTTTTATTTTTCCCCCGTGTGCCCCTACTATGGTCAGAAAGCCTGTTGTGTCCACCATCTCCAAAGGAGGTTACCTGCAGGGAAATGTTAACAGGAGGCTGCCTTCCCTGGGCAACAAGGAGCCACCTGGGCAGGAGAAAGTGCAGCTGAAGAGGAAAGTCACTTTACTGAGGGGAATCTCCATTATCATTGGCACCATCATTGGAGCAGGAATCTTCATCTCTCCTAAGGGCGTGCTCCAGAACACAGGCAGCGTGGGCATGTCTCTGACCATCTGGACGGTGTGTGGGGTCCTGTCACTATTTGGTGAGTGCAACTTTTTCTCGGGGGGGAGGGGGCGTGGCTGTGGGACTGGAAAGCTTGCTTTCTGGGAAAGCAAATGATCATTTTTGAGGAGTGAATGGATGGCAAAGGCCACACCAAATTTTTAAAATTTTTGTTCAGGTACGTGAACTACCCAGACGCAGAATCCACTGTTGGTGTGATCTGGAACGCCCTCAAATTGTTTCCTACAGGCTGTACTTTCTTTTCCTGACTAAGACAGGCTATTTTCTGACTTTTCCCTGTGGGATGAGAGCAAAGACTAACTTTCATGACCCAGTAAAAAACATGCACACTTTCTGTGCCGGGCAGTTGTGCTTAGCTTGGGCACTCTGGCAGCTGGCATGTTGAATGAAACACCTGGCATGGCCTATTTAGACATAGAACGGAGTGTTCAGCAGAAGCCTTACTGACTTTTTATTAGCCTAACAAATGGGTGGCAGTCTTTTTAAAAATATTTTTTAAGTTCATATGCTTGTCACCTCTTAATATCCTTTCAAAAGTCCTTGGCATGAGAGAGAAATGTATGATGGCGCATAACTCAATCCCTATCATAATGGGGCATATTGCAATGGCCTGAGCAAATTTCAAATTACTTTTCAACCTTTCATCTCTTCTCAATACCCATACACTTTTGCAATATAAGTTTTAAAACTTCAGTTGGGTGTTAGTTTTCTGTGCTTGCCCAGATCTGTTTTTATCATTTATATTTCACTTGTTCTCCAGGGACACAGATAATTTGTCCACCTGTTCACTGAATTAATCCGAAGGGAACTGGTAGAAGTATAATTATGAATTTTTCTTCAAAATTTATGTCTCTTCTGTTGATTTGAGAATTAATAATAAAGAGATAAATAAATGCCCCTTATGAAATAGGCAAATTACTAGAGAGCTACCTGAGTTTGTTGTAAAGATGATAGAAACTGGTGAACTGTCAAACATTAAATTTGATTTATGCTATGAAGATTTGTTTACTCTTCTTGGGAAAGATTCTATACTTTAAAGTTGCTCTTTGTCTTAACTCTAGGACTAACACTAACAAGTACTAACACTAACTCTAGAACTAACTAACAAGTACTAACTCTTGTTCCCATGTGTACCAATCCATTCATTCTTTCCACTCAGGCCTTGTGATGTTTTAAATCATTGGTTTGACGCTCATCTAGATAACTCAAATTCCTTTTTTTTTTTTTTTTTTTTTTGAGATGGAGCCTCGCTCTGTTGCTGAGGCTGGAGTGCAGTGGTGTGATCTCGGCTCACTGCAGCCTCCGTCTCCCAGGTTCAAGCAATTCTCCTGCCTCAGCCTCCTGAGTAGCTGGTACTAGAGGTGTGCGCCACCACGTTTGGCAAATTTTTTGTATTTTTGTAGAGATGGGGTTTCATTGTGTTAGCCAGGTTGGTCTCAATCTCCTGACCTCATGATCCATCTGCCTCAGTCTCCCAAAGTGCTGGAATTACAGGCATGAGCAGTGACACTGCTCCTGGTCCTCAAATTCCATTTTTAGGAAGAAGTTATTTATTTATTTTAAATAAAACTTGTTAAAACAAGGTCATAGTATAGAAAGATTTATAGAGGAATTATTTGGGGTTTTTAGAAAGAGTTTGTGGTATTATTTATATGACTAACTTGTGCTTTATTAAATAGTCAGTAACAATTGTGTATCATTATTTCCCAGTATTACTTCCCATCTTTATAAAATAATCTGGAGTAATACCATTACGAGAAACTCTAATAGTACCCTTAGCCCTATTAACTTTAAAATAGCTCTGGTGTATGCACTTGTAGATGAAGAGAAACCTAATTGTTGATCATCTTAAATGACTTTGTGCACCTCAGTCTTTAAATCTTCCTACAGCACTTTATATATTCAGAATAAATCAATATCTAACCAGAAAAACCACAACCAGTTTACTGGACTTTGCATACTTACGTGCATGCAGCTTCCACTATGGGATTCAATTTTTGCACATAATAAAAGATTATTCAGATGTAATAAAATAGATCAGTATGAGTATTGAACTAGTTAAAGTGATGTTGACTTGCACTATGAAAATATGCTTATGCATAAGTATTACATATCATCTTAAGCAGAAGCTCAAGAACAATAAAAAGAGAGAAACAGCTAAGGAGACTAGCTAACATTACACTTGAGCTGGTGTTCTTTGATTAATAATTGAAGGGAGTGTGCTTTTGTATTAATCTACTTATCTTTATTTGCATTGCATTTGTCACTTAAGTTACCAGAAGCTTCTGGACAGGAGTGCCTCTCTAACAGTAAGCAAAGCAAAATGTAAAGAAAAAATAATCCTTCTTTTTAAAAAGACTCTAGAACTCTGGGATCAACTGTAAAGAATCTGTACATTTGGTTTAATACATACATATAGTTTTTTTTTTTAAGTGAAGGGTCAATACATGGATTTTTACATCTTGTTTTGAACTTTTTTCATCTGGGCAAAATGGTTATGAAGCTTTAGACCTTTAAATGAAAATCATTCCCCCAGAACTCAGTGTAAACCTAGGGCAACCATCCTGGAGTTTCAGCAAAGCATACAGAGGTCTAGGTATTGATTCTCTGACAATAAATTCTGAGGTACTTAAGACTCTTTCCAATAACATTTTATATTGGATCCTTTTCTGGACAGCCTACCAACATGGCGAATGTTCCCCCATGGAGAGTGAGTTGCAACTCGTTATAATTAGTTATAGGTAGATGAAATATATAAGTGTTCCCCACATATCAGTCTGCAGACTAGTTACTACGGAATTATTTGTGCAAATTTTAAAATGATAGAGATTCTTGAATTTCTCTTGTGGACAATCTACACTCTCTTGATGAGAGTCTGTTTTTCATTTGAGTGTTTTCGAATTAAAAATTATTCCCAGACCAAGCATGGTGGCTCATGCCTATGATCTCAGCACTTTGGGAGGCTGAGGCAGACAGAACCCTTGAGCCCAGGAGTTCCAGACCAGCCTGGGCAACATGGCGAAACCCTGTCTCTACAAAAAATACACAAAAATTTAGCTGGGCATGGTGGTGCGAGATTGTGCCACTGCACTCTAGCCTAGGTGACAGAGCAATACCCTCTCTCAAAAAAAAAAAAAACCAATTATTCCTAGGTGACTTTGATGTCATGACAAGTTTAGAAATCAGATATAAAATATGTAACACTAAGATTTCACTGAATATCCAAATTATATTTATGTTGGACAGTTCTGTCTAAATTATTATTAATCAGTAATACTTCTCTACACTTTTATTCTCAGATGTAGCTTGGAAAAAAGTCGTGTTCTTACATTTGAGCACTTGGCAGTACAGATAGAACTTTTCACATAATGACAGGATATATTTTTTATTTTCTTGTTAATTACTCAAATTAATAAGTATAGCTATATTTCATGTGATGCTTGCCATGTGTCAGGCCGTGTACTCTCCTAGGTACTCACTGCCACATCTATACACATAATTCCCTTATGAGGTAGAAACTGAGATCTCCATTTCACAGAGAGTGAAACTGAGGTTTTGTGGAATTGCATATTTGTCCAATTTTATGCGAATTGTATCGTTAAATATTAAAAATTTAGCTTATAGTTAATTCGATCTGAAGTACACAAATATAAATTATAGCACCTCATTTTAAAAAGTATATTCTGGGCTGGGTGCAGTGGCTCACGCCTGTAATACCAGCACTTTGGGAGGCCGAGGCGAGCAGATCACCTGAGGTCGGGAGTTTGAGACCAGCCCGGCCAACATGGAGAAACCTGGTCTCTACTAAAAATACAAAAAATTAGCCGGGTGTGCTGGCAGGCGCCTGTAATCCCAACTACTCGGGAGGCTGAGGCAGGAGAATAGCTTGAACCCTGGAGGCAGAGGTTGCAGTGAGCAGAGATCGTGCCACTGCACTCCAGTCTGGGGGAGAGAGTGAGACTCTGTCTCAAAAAAAAAAAAAAAAAAAAAAGTATATTCTCGCTGGGCACAAGGGCTCAGCCTGTAATCCCAACATTTTGGGAGGCCGAGGTGGATGGATCTTCTGAGGTCAGGAGTTCAAGACCAGCCTGGCCAACGTGGTGAAACCCCATCTTTACTAAAAATTCAAAAATTAGCTGGGCGTGGTGGTGGCCACCTGTAATCCCAGCTACTCGGGACCTTGAAGCAGGAGAACTGCTTGAACCTGGGAGGCGGAGGTTGCAGTGAGTTGAGAGCGCCATTGCACTCTAGCCTGGGTGACGAGAAACTCTATCTCAAAAAAAAAAAAGAACAAAAAACCCAGAGTGTACACTTCAAAAAACATTCAATATAGCCTTTTATAGAAACAGAAGGAGTCAGAATTCATTTTGTTGACAAAATATATCCTACAAATTAAATGAAATCTTGCAAGGCATAGAGTCCATAGTTTTCTAAAGAGTGGATACAGCTTATTTATTTCGATTTTCCACGGAAACATAATTTATTAAAAGGGTTCTCAAAAAATAATTCAAAAAAAAGTTAAAAGCTAACTCAAACATTTGGACTAACGCCTTGTCTCGGTGTGAGGTTGTGTTCTTCTAAAAATAGGTCAATATTATTGACATCTCTCTTCTCTTTTTCCCCTATTTCCAGGTTTTCATCTCAAAATTCTGGAACACATGATATTGTTGTAGACACGTGTCTTTGTCATTTCAAGTAAAATTATAGTGTTCAAATAGAGTGAACTAAATCTCAGCTGTGAGGATGTTAGAAGAGGAACTTGGCGGGTCTTAGCAATTAGATGACGGTTATTTGTCTTGAATAAGGATGCCATTCAGACCAAAGGAGATATTTACATCTCAGGCAGCATATAAACATTATTGTATCCATTTTAATGCTAGGTGTCTTGAAAATGTGTTAAATTGGTACCATTTTGTGACAAATATTTCACAGGAGCCTTGTCTTATGCTGAATTGGGAACAAGTATAAAGAAATCCGGAGGTCATTACACGTATATTTTGGAAGTCTTTGGTCCATTACCAGCTTTTGTACGAGTCTGGGTGGAACTCCTCATAATACGGTAAGAACATAGTAGAAAGAATTAAGAAAAAATAAACCAATTCATTCTTATGAATCACCTTGATTATTTTTAACTGGTTAAACATATGCATGTCATGTGACTACGTGTAAACATGTCTACCTCAGGATATAAAGCTTGTGATAAAATACCTTTCTGGATTAAGATATTTTTAATGCAATTTTGTCACTGACAAGCAGTTCACCAGCAATGCCAAACTATTAAAAGTATCTACCTTTCTTTAACCCTCAGCTATCCTCTTTGACACTTCTAGGAGAAAGATGCTTACCTGAAAGCATATGAACATGAAAATTCACCTGGATACCTTTTGACCAACTAGACAAATTAAATATTATACTAGGAATTGGAATTTTCTCTTATTGTAGATTATATCACTAAGGCATTTAACTTTACTTAGTCATTGTGATGAAGACCCTTCTGTGCCTGACAACTTAATTGGTCACCAAGGCTTATACTTTATAAAAAACAGAGTTTGCATGACAGAGTCAAATGACTCATTTCCTTATGTTAAACAAATCAGGAACTACAGTTCCAAACGCCTTTTTTGATTTTATTGTTGTAACAATGTGTTTACATTCCTGCTTGTCTCAGTTTAAAATCAAACTGAATAGTGCCAAGTCACTCTGAATAGCAAATTTCCTTCAACTTTGTGGGAAGCTTATGATGTCATATGAGCATTTCAGAGTATCACAGTTTCTTAAGGCTAATTACTTCTATAAAATGTGATGTGGACATTCTGATTACAGAATTTAATGGATATTACTAGGGAAACTTGCTCTTATCAAACTTACCAAACATACATGATTGAGAGCTCATGTGAGCTTTTATGGCTAAGTGCTAATAAGTGCTAGTTAGTACTGACTTAACACTAATCATGAGTTTTACAGTGTTAGAAGTCTTTTTTTTAACAGAAAAAATATCTTCAAAGTAGTATATACTTCATGAAGTCTTTTTCATTTTAAACAACTCTGCATTATTTAAAATTGTTATAATGATATAATAATAAGTATTTTTTCCCTTTTCTAAAATTCCTGTATCAGGAATGTACTTTCTGTTCCTTTTTGGTTATCTGAATCTTATCTGCTCTTCAAAGGTCATCTTAAATCCTATCTTTCTCATAATTAATTTCCAGTTTATTCTAATTTGTTATTTCTTTCATCTCTAAATTCTTCTGAAAATGCTATCTCTGCTTCACATTTGACATTGAACATGATACCTTCTATTCTTCCTTAATATTTTAGATGTCTGTATTTTGTTTCCCTTTTAAAACTGCCAACCTTTCAAGCATATAAAGATACGATCTTTTTGTAACCTGTATAGCACTTAGGTCAGTGCCCTTTTTTCGGCATATATTAAATTATTTTTGAATAAGTAATTGAAAGTTTAAAGTTACAATATATTGTGTATAACATACTCAGCATTCAAATACATGTACTCCTTATTTAGACTGCTGACCTGTCAGGCTGGTGGGCTTTGGGGCTTAATACAGTTGGACTTGACTCCATCTTCAGCCATGTATTAGTGTGTAACTTTGGCTCATTGCTTGGCATTATGATGAACACGATCATTCCATATAAATATAGCTTATATCTTATGGTAGCACAGATAAAATATACATCTATTAATTTATTTATTCCACAATCTGCCACTGAATGGTAAATGACAATAGAAAGAGATCTAAAGTGAAATCAGTCATGATTTCTGCTCCCAGGTAGCTGATAATCACTTATTACTTTAATTAAAAAGAAAAAAAACCTACTTTTCTCTGTGTGTGTGTGTGTGTGTGTGTGTGTGTGTGTGTCTGTGGACAGAGGAAAGTACGTTTGTATTCTAGAAGATTTAAAATATGCTTATGTATCTCTTTGTCATAACATACTGATTTTGCTGAGTTGGCCTTTTAAATATGTAGAATAACAAATATCATGAGGAGGGACAAGATATCTAAGTATTTAAACACTTCTCTTCTTTTACTAATACCCATAGTTCCTAAGTACTTCACATTAAAATTATACCTTTAGATTAAGTTTGTATTGCCAGAAATAATCTGTAAAACACAGATTTCAAGGAGAGAAATATTACCTATCATTACACAGCAGGGGTCATTAAACCGAATTTGCGTGTTCACTCTATATTTAATATATATTGGGTTTCTACTATATGTTAGACACTGCGCTAAACACTGGAGATAAAATTGTGGTTAAGATAGATACGATTTTGTACCCTTAGAGCTCCGAGTCAAGTGGGAGGAAATCATTATCAGCTGAGAAATCACATAGGTAAATATAAAATTGCTACTGTGATAAGCACTGTGGAAGACAGGCCAAGGACTTCAGTATGAATATACTCCAAGAGATCTGGCCCAGTCAGAGGCTGGAGAAGCTTTCCCTGGCAAAGGAAAATTGAACCAAGATCTGAAGTTTATAGCATAGTCAATGAGTTGCAGAGGCTGCAGGCAGAGAAGATTCATATCCTTCTAGTGGGAGGAAGCTAACTGAAGAAATAAGGAGAGCTTAGACCAGATGGAGCCTTGAATGCAATGTGAAGGAGTTTTGCATTTCCTGAACATATTTTGAAAGCACTAAAATGACATGATCAGATCTTAAATTATACATCAAAAATTGTATAAATGATGGAGAATAGGATAAACAGTTTTGTTTGGGGAAGATGGGAGGGTGTCTAGGAAAAGAAGAAAATCAAAAACCTTATGCTGCTCTCCAGTATCAGCCAGCCAAAGTTGACAACATGTAATGGTGGTTGGTTTTCTGATAATCTATGGATCAGGCATGAATGTTGGGTAACTACGAGAAGAAAGAGAAGCTAAAAAGGAAGTTTGACATAAGAAATTAGATAATTGCCGGGGGGCGCGGTGACTCATGGCTGTAATCCCAGCACTTTGGGAGGCTGAGGCAGGTGGATCACCAGGTCAGGAGTTCAAGACCAGCCTGACCAATATGGTGAGACCCCGTCTGTACTAAAAATACAAAAAATTAGCCAGGCATGGTGGCTTGTGCCTGTAATCCCAGCTACTCAGGAGGCTGAGGCAGGAGAATTGCTTGAACATGGGAGGCGGAGGTTACAGTGAGCTGAGATCGTGCCACTACACTCCAGTCTAGGCAACAGAGTGAGACTCCATTTCAGAAAAAAAAAAAAAAAAGAAATTAGATAATTGCACAGACTTGCATGTTTATGGAAAAAATATGCATTCATATATACATACATCTAAAATGAAAAGGTCTGTGCAATTTTCTCATAAAAATATTTGAAGAATTAAAATAGAAGGATGTATTACCTATATTTCTATATACTTGAATTTATTTCATATTCTTGTCCCATTTATATTTACTTAATTGTATAAGATTATAATAAATATATTATTTTTAAATTTATACTTTATATCTGATTGTTACTATAGGAGTAAGAATAATCACTTGACTTTGAGTTTTTGTCTGTACAGAAAAAATAAGAGTAAAACAACATCAAGTATTTAGGCATGTATTTCCAGAGAATACATAATACTAATTTTTTAGGTTGAGTATTGTGTTCATTCTTTAGACTATGCCTTGACACATTAGATCTGTATGGCATTAACTAATTCATAATATGGCTGAAGTTTATTTACTGACTTTTTGAGAAAGAAGATGGCTTCCTGTAAGCCTAGCTCTGTCAAGCTCTTATGTAATAAGCCGGATTTTGAAGGAAAAGTCAAATATGGGAGAGCAGGGGAAAAGTTGGTAGTACTTACCCTTGTTCCCAAGAATATGTGAAGTTTAAAAACTAGCCACCAATGTTATAGGAAATATTTCATTTGGAATGTCTATGACAACCTAATCAAGTATGGAATTCTGAAAACTATAGACTTTCATATTTAACATGTTGCATATGCTAAATACACTCAAGGTAGAAAAATCTAATGAAATTAAATTTAATAAAAATGCTATTTTTCCCCCTGTGGTTAATCTAAATATATACATTTTTTTTAGCCCTGCAGCTACAGCTGTGATATCCCTGGCATTTGGACGCTACATTCTGGAACCATTTTTTATTCAATGTGAAATCCCTGAACTTGCGATCAAGCTCATTACAGCTGTGGGCTTAAGTGAGTATTATAGCTATATATGTAAAAAAGGAAAAAAACAACACAAAAATGATTGAATACAAAGTGTCTTTAGACTTTTTGCATTGTAGGGTTGCCTCTCACGTCATGTTCTTCTTGCTTACAGTTCCAAATTTCTGCTGGAAGGATTTGGAGTGACATCCAATATTGTATTCCACGCCAGTTTTGTATTTGGCCAATAGATATGATGGCTAATCTTTTTAAATAGTAAAAATCACCTTACTAGTAAAATATTAAGTCGGTTATACATGAACAAGACTTTTAAAGAGGAAACCCCAATTATTTTAGAGATTATTTAATTGGAAATTAGCTGTATATTGAATTATATCTTATGTGTATTCGTGGAGTTACCTTTATGTAGTGGGTGTGTAAGTTGTGTTTATACATTTTGTAGTGTTAGCAGCTGTCACTCCCAGTGTTATAATGTTAGCTGCCTGTTGTTGGTCATGAAAAGAGTTTTCTTTCAAGATTGATTATTAATAGTGTTTTCCAACTAGATTTCTTTATGGTCTCCAAATTGAGAAGTTGTTCATCTTTTATCAATGGGCACAAATATTCATTGATTTAAAAAAGAAACAAAAAGAACATGAACAAAATTACATGAGTGATATGAAGCCATATATGACTCTAATTCCCCAAAAGATGCCAGGTACTAAATCCTTAAATATGGGAAAGGATAACTTAATTCTGGGTGCCATTTGAATCACTGTCTTAATCAATATGATCACATTTAACCGAGTTTTAGCTACTTATAAAGAGAAAGCTACACTAACTGAATTGCATAATCATGGAAGAATTTTTAGTTTGTATGGCTAAGATGTTTCAGTGGGATAATGCCTGAGATATTGCCTGTAATTTACTTATTGCCTGTAATTCATTTATTTTTTTAATTAAAATTTAAAAAATACATTTAGTGGGTACAATGCAGTTGTGTTACATGGATATATTGTGTAGTGGTGGAGTCTGGGCTTTTAGTGTAACCATCACCCAAATAGTGTATATTGTAGAAATTAGGTAATTTTCATCCCTCATCCTCCTCCTACCCTCTCATCTCTCTGAGTCTCCAATGTCTATTATTTCACACTCTATGTCTATGTGTATACATTATTTAGCTCCCACTTATAAGTGAGAACATATGGTATTTGACTTTCTTTTTCTCTAATTCCACTTAAAATAGTGACTTCCAGTTCCATCCATGTTACTTGCAGCAAAGGCATTATTTTACTTAATTTATTAAGAACACAATAAAAATGGTAGCTATTTATACTTTTAGTAAAACATCATTTGAAGTTCCATGAGACTAGAGACCTATTCATTGCTGCATTTCCAGCCCCTCATTTAGCTCCTAGCATGTTGTTGGTGCTCAATAAGTATTTGTTGACTTGATTTTCTAAGAAGTCTAAGAATTTTTTTCTCCAGCAGAAAAGTCTATCGTCTGTTTACTTGTTAAACTTGGAGGATTAGACATCTTCGATATATTTCCAGGCAATGGGAAAATGATAAAAATGCAATAGAGTTTGCTTTGTATTATGTTCAGATCTAGCAGTCTAAGTTTTTGTGGGTTGAACCATTTTAGCATAGTGGTTGCAGTTTAGGCTTTGGAAGCAAACAACCTGGAACTGAAACTTGGTGTTACAATTCTTAGTGTTGTGAGCTTGTGCTAAGTTTTAAACCTGTTTAAGCCTCAATTTTATTTCACAGGAAAATGCCTGTGAAAAAATAATCTATTAATATCTTGAATGGCTGAAGGAAGATGAAACTAAGCCAGATTTTTTTGTTTAGGTCAGATTCTTTTTCATTATATTTTCTTTTTTCTTTCTTTAGCTTTTATTTTGAGTTCAGGGGTGCATGCGCAGTTTGTGACATAGGTAAACTCGTGTCATGGGGGTTTGTGGTACAGATTGTCTCGTCACCCAGGTTCTAAACCTAGCACCCAAGTTATTTTTTTCTGATTCTCTCCCTCCTTCCAAACACCCTCAAGTAGGCCCAGTGACTGTTGTTACCCTTTGTGTTCATGACTTGTCATCATTTAGCTCCAATTTTGTACATGAAAACATGCAGCATTTGGTTTTCTGTTCCTGTGTTAGTTTGCTAAGGATAATGACCTCTAGCTCCATCCATCTTCCTGCAAAAGACATGATCAAAGTCAGATTTTTAAGACCATTAACGGAGTGCCTTGTCTATAGAATGTTCTTGATAAGTCCACTGTTCCACTAAGGGATTGGACTAACAGCCATTGTTATATTCACCATTTTCTTGTTCCTCGAATGACTGAGGCAGAATCATATCACAAATATTATTTTTAAAAAAGAGAAGAGCAGGGGTGGCATTTTTGAGAGCTCTGTAAATTAATAATAATAGTTATCAATTAAAAGCCATAACCAGAAGACTAAGTAGATTGCATGTAAACATTTATAAATTCACAAACTTTACTCACTTTGGAGTTAAAATTACATTAATAATAATGCTATATTTATGTTTTTATAAGTCTAGATAACTCTCTTCTTGTTTATTCCAATTTAATTAAACATTTTAAAGGGAAAATTAGTATTTCAGCGAATTAAATGAAAACTGCTCAAACTAAACTTTAAAACAGTTCTAGGAAAGGATAACTATGTTGGGATTTACAAAACCTCTGTAGTAGACATTGGTGATGAAATAGTTAACAAGGAGCCTGAATAAATCTTAGATGAACCCAGACATTTCCTTCTATTTTTGCCATGAGTTATTACATTCATTTTTAAATTTTGATGTTCCTTTTGCAAGCTTGAAATTCTGAGAAAGAAATGCATTTCCATAATCAGCAACAATTAAAAAGAAAACTGGATATCCTTATGACTCAGTGGTGGGTAATGTAAATCGATGCCCTAATTGGGAAAGTCAAACTGTCTTTAAGAAAAATTTAGCTTTAATGGAGCAACAGGGGGTGGAGATGGAGATAGAGAAGGAGAAATTTATCTAGGGGCAAATCTCTCACATCCTGCTTTCTTCAAAGTGAGTCTAGGTGATTTTCTACCTGTTAGGGGTGGAAGGTTACCAAGATGTAGAAAATAGAGTTTAATTGCATGAATTGCTCCCCTGTGAACCTTGGGGAAGGAAACAATTTGTGGTCATTTGAGATCTCTAGTTAAGCATAGAAAAAGGGCAAACCTGAAGGGTCTTGCTACATCATAGAAAAAAAGAATTTCAAATTTTGTGAAATGTTAGCCAACCATTTGAGAGATGATAATGGGATAAGGGTAGGGGGTTAAGTAAATACTAATTCACCCCCATTTTTTTAAGTACTGTATTTCATTTCTGTCAAATTTAATGAAGATAAAAAAGCTTTTGCTTATACAAATTTTATCCATTCCAGTAAACATGTCAAGTGCATAGAAGTTTAGATGGAAAATCTTATAGATTCACATTTGACTGCTCTCTTATAGCCCAATATTGTAATTACTTTCTTTCTTTCTTTTTTTTTCTCTCTCTTTTTTTTTTTTTTTTGAGACAGAATCTCCCTTTGTCGCCCAGGTTGGAGTGTAGTGGCATGATCTTGGCTCACTGCAAGCTCCTCCTCCCGAGTTCACACCATTCTCCTGCCTCAGCCTCTTGAGTAGCTGGGACCACAGGCGCCCGCCACCACGCCCGGCTAATTTTTTTGCATTTTTAGTAGAGACGGAGTTTCACCATGTTAGCCAGAATGGTCTCGATCTCCCGACCTCATGATCCGCCCGTCTTGGCCTCGCAAAATGCTAAGATTACAGGCGTGAGCCACCGCACCCGACCTGTAATTACTTTCTTCACCTTCTGTAGAAGTTCATGAATTTTCACTGCTTTTATAGATTCAATAAGCATTGAAGTGTGCTCAATATTTAAAATATTTATCTGTTCTGTTTTCCTGAAATTGAACCCTTTATAATGATACACTTGAATGCCAGAATATTATGATAAAAATATTCTCCTTAAGATATGAGATCTAGTCCCAGATCCATCCCTAACACCATCAATTGTTGAATGCCAATTTCCTTGCTAGTTTATTTTATCTATACAAAATAAAGATGAGCTAAGAGCCCCATCCTAATTCTCAAACTTTTGAAAGTAATTGGGAGGAACAAACAAAATAACATTTGCGATTGTATTGTGAAAAAAGTTAGCCAGTTCTACAAATGTATTACTTTATATTCTTCTTGAAATCTATATTTTCCTGACACCATTAAATTACATAAAAGAAAATCTAGGACTATTTCTGTGTTAACACTTCAAATATAGCATATGAAGTGGCTCTGTTTACATCTTTGAAGTCTGGCTATACCTACTTCTTTTCTACCATAAGTAAATTACCAGCACCACCAATTCTTAGGTAAATATACATAGTATTAAAATATACAAGTACTGCAGAACAACTATCATATACTTTCGGAGGATGACAAGTAAAATGTGGAAACAAAGGGTCCTGAAATCCCAGCTAACATAAAGATGAAATTTTGCAGAGAGAAAGAGCCATCGTGAGTTTAAAAGAACTAGGTACACTAATGGAATCATGTATGTCTTTTGAACTACTTCCTCATTGTTACCTGGGAACTAATTAAAAGTGTGGGCTCCAGAGTTAGATTACCTGGGCTCCAGACTCACCTTCACTGTTACTACCTATGCAAACATAAGCAAGTTAAATAATATCTTGAGTCTCAGCTGCTCATCTGAAAAATAAGGTCGATAAAATGACTATGTCATAGAGATATGAGGATTAAATAACATTATTCATGTAAAGTGTTTGTAGAATGTCTGCCATGAAATAATAGTTTATATTTATATATTGCTTAACATTTTTATTCCCAATAGTGAGATCCTAGATATAAACTGTCACTCTGCTTTTTAAAGTGTTTGTTGCTACATATCTTCTCTAAAATTAATGCATCCAGGAGACGAATGCTAATAAAAAGATAAAAGGAATCCAGGCAGCCATTACAAAACAGCAGTGAAACAACCCGCTTTATCTCAACATGTAACATACTTACACAGTATCCATATATTTTATCAGTTTAGCACAAAGTACTCAGAATTCAGAAGCCAAGAAGAACCTGAACCTGGGAGAAAACCCAATATATCTAGACTCTGTAATCTCACTCTTCAAAACCCAAAGATAGACTTGAATTACACAGTGCAGAGAGAACTACTTGCCAGTCCTTAAATCACAGCTTTAGTCCTTAACATTCCCCTAAACATCCTCTTCAAATATAGCTTCCTTCAAATATGTATTTCTTATCTCCAGGATTTATAGATATAGCTTCCATTGCCACATTTCAGTTCTTAGGAAACTGCATCATAAATAAGTAAATAAAAACTATATGTCCCTGTATTTTTATTCTGGTAAAATTTAAGGCGAGCACACAAAGAATGCCCAAACTGATATAATTATTTCCTCATGTGTGAAATTAGCAAATTGTTATTCAAAGGAAGTAAAACTAGGACCAGAGAACTGGCTCAGATTTCTTTCATTATGGCAGTTTGGGCAGGTAGTATTTTTAAAAACTACATATTATTTGTTTCAGAAACTCAGAAAGCTCTTGCGTTTAGTGAATCCCAAATCCCTTTCGATATTGTTGGATAAGCAACATATATAGACATAAATTTCACTGTAAAGACACATGATGAAACAGCAGTTATAGCCACTGGAGAAGCTTCACTGTGACTCTCACTGGCTGCCTTGTTACTTGTTAAGCTGTGCCTTCAGGGCAGTACAGGTGCATCTCAGCTGGAATTTGGTGTACCAAATAATGAGGACAATGTCTGGATGCTCAGATAAAGCAGGGCTTTGAGAACTCTTTGAAAAAAATTCATCTTTTTTTTTTCTTAAAAAATTTATTGGTGTATAATTGACATACAATAAGCCATACATGCTTTAAATGTACAGTTTGATAAAGTGTGATGTATGTATTCCCTTGTGAAACTATCACCACAATCAAGTACCCAGGAATGGGATTGCTGGATCATATGACAGATTTATTTTTAGTTGTTTAAGGCACTTCCATACTGTTTTCTGTAGTGGCTATAGTAATTTACATTCCCACCAGCAGTATACTAGCATCTTAATGAGAATTTTTGTTAAGCTATCTGAGAGGAAAGCAGGATGAGATGATCAATTCATAGTATCTGTTGAATTATGTCTTCCATTTGCCTGAGAAAACTTTACAAAGTGTTTTATAAAATCCCAAATACCCAGGTTTTTTTTTTTTTTAATATTTCAATAGGCATTAGGTACTTATACTCTTTATGAAAGTAACAAAACCTCTTTCTTATTTTCAAACATATAGATGGCTAGTTGTTCCAAAAATAAGAATGCCTCACTCTCTCTCCTTCCTTCCTCCTTGCCTGACTCTTTTTCTTTTTATCTTTCTCCTTTCCTCTCCTTTCTTTTTCTCTCTTTCTCTCTATATAACAGTTCTTTTCTACTGCGGAAAGAACTTTCATAAATACAGACTGCTTTGGGTTTTAGGAGCCCTATTTGAAAGAAAACACTGCCCTTTTGTTGCTGGTGGCCACATGAGACAGTTTTTTCACTTTTACACCAACGTTGAATCTCCTTAATTAAAACAATAGTCATTATTGTATAATGACTCATCGCACAGTCATTTGCATAGAAAAGGAAAGGAACCACTGGATGATGGAGTGGGGAGCAGAGTTACACTAACATTTTCCATATATAAGTGCCTTATGTTGGAGAGACATAAATAATTTTATTTTTGTGATTCCTCTGATAAAATAATGCACTTTGTGATTGACGACAGACCTGTCTATCCCTTCATGTTTTCAACTTCCAGCACAGATGAAATATGCCCCCTTAGATGCCCCTGTAGCTTATTCAGGGGTTTGGCCTTTTTGGTCATTCTCATAATTACTCCTTTGAAATATTTCTTCATTAGTAACCCCCTATTTCACTTGGTATGGGATCTTCTGGTCCCTTATTTTTCCCATCTTGGAGTTTTTTCCAAAAACAAAATGTATTTTATTGCTTCATTTACTTTTTAAAATTTTCAGCTTTATTGAGGTACATATGACAAATAAAATTGTAATTTTAAGGTGTACAATGTAATGATTTTATTTATATATATATTGTGAAATGATTATCACAATCAAGTTGAGTTAACACATCTATCATATCATTTAGTTACCCCTCTTTTTTTGTTTTGTTTTGTGGTGAGAACATTTAAGTATATTTCAAATATACAATTCAGCATTTGAAACTATAGTCACCAAAAAGGTATATATTCATTATAAAATTTATTAAACTATTCATAAAAATAAATTTAAAAAACTGAAAATTATTTAGTATTCCTATAAACACCTGCTGTTGATGTTTTGGTAAATATGTTTCCAGATCTTTCTATTACTCCTTCCTTCCTTCCTCCCTCCCTCCCTTCCTTCCTTCCTTCCTTCCTTCCTTCCTCCCTTCCTTCCTTCCTCCTTCCCTCCCTCTCTTCCTCCCTTCCTTCCTTTCCTCCTTCCTCCCTCTTTCCATCCATCTCTCTAACTTGCTGTATTGATCAGTAATATGTCATGAATATCCTTTCTTATAATAAATATTTAACTGCCTCATAATTTTAAGTGGCTACATATAAACTATTAAAATGATATACCTTAATTAGCCTTCCTTTAGGAGGTTTAGGCTATTTCCATTTTTTTGCCTTTAAAGATTATGTGTTGCTAACATTTGCATTGATTGTTAAATTCTGAAGTGAGCTAGTAACTATATTAGGCAATGAAAACTGTGAGGCAGACTCATTACTATACATAAGAAAACTTCCAATTGCAATTTAAATAATAAGAATTCTGTAGGAGTTTTGTTTCTTTGAGAAATATCTTTACATTTTTAATATCTGTTTAGGGAGAATATACCTTTATAAATATAAAGGTTATAGTTAATAACTGTAAATGTCAGGAATAAAGTAATGTTTTGGGTTGTTAAAACTGAGCATAAGGTTGTGGAAAGAGTATAAAGTTGAAATCCACTGTCTAGAATAACCTCAGTCATCCCAGCAGAGTAGGGGAGAAAGGTCTTAGAGCATCACCATTCCCCCTGTGCCTTAGATTTTCTGACTGAGGACCCAGTTCATTCATTCAACAAAAATGTATTAAGCTACCCAGGCCAGGCATGGAGCTGGATACTAGCAATACAGCGATGAATAACCCTTGCGCTATCCTTGAGGTTTTCATGCTCCACAAGGTGTCGAAGGTGAATAGTTATTGCTGCTTGGGAAATTGTGGATAGCGTCAGTAAGAATGAAAAATTCTGCTGGCTTGAACCTAATATGCATCCTAGACTGGTTAGTCTTTTGCACTCATCACTTAGAATATTGTGCTCAAGCCCTAAAATATATCTTGAAAAACGATTCTTGTACAGTAGGTTGAAAGTCGCCCCTTGACATGCTAATTAGAAAGAAGAAAACCAAAAGAAAAGTGCTGCCTGAGGCTAGTCCTGAGAATGAAAAATAAGATCTGAACCAACTTCTACATGTCTTGCCCTTTCTTGAGTGTGATCCACGGTGGCAGGCATACCGTCATGGAGACAGAAAAGAGTTGCCACATCAAGCTAGAGAGTCAAATTCAGCCATCTGATTGGATGAGGGTTTGGTTAGAAGACATTTTTATAGGATTGTCAGAGTACTACAATATATGCCCACTCTTACATACAGAGAACAAGAGAAGAATTCCTATTGTCCAGAGGTTTTATCCACATTTCTCAAACTTTAATGTGTATAGAAACCAGCTGGAGAACCTGTTGAAATGTAGATTTGTATTCATTAGGTCTGGGGAAGGGCCTGGGATTCTGCATTCCTAAAACAGCAATGTCAACACTGCTGCCTCATAGATTGCCCTTTGAGTAACAAGGACCTAAAATGTCTTTGTGCTGTTGAGGATTCACCTTTTGTAACTTCATCTATTTGTTTGCAGCTGTAGTGATGGTCCTAAATAGCATGAGTGTCAGCTGGAGCGCCCGGATCCAGATTTTCTTAACCTTTTGCAAGCTCACAGCAATTCTCATAATTATAGTCCCTGGAGTTATGCAACTAATTAAAGGTATGGACTGAAGTAAATGCTTTTTAAAATACTTATCTGCTTTTGGTCTTTTTTAACACTAACTTTTGCTTGTACTAGCAGAATCCTTAATTAGTCTCTGCTTGTGGAACTTAAAGTCTATATTGTCATCTAATTGATTTGAACGGCTGCTACATTGTGAGTGAGTTGGTTTTTACAGTTGAATGGCAGAAAGAGGATTAAGACTGGGCCAAGCAACAAAATAAGGCATCAGAGAATTTTCTAGGTGTAATGGTTTGAAGTGAAAACTCAAAGTGGAAAAAAAAAAACTGCCATTTAGTTTTAATTACAGATAAATATGTCTTTTTTTTTTTTTTTACTTTAAAATTGTCTAATAATAGTAATAAAAATCAAAGAGAAAAAGGTATCTGGAAAATAATAAAAGATGATCAATAATTCTTTGACTTTCTGGTTATTATTCCTTTTAAATTGAGAATGGTATCCTCAAAAGAGGAGTCAATATCGGAACAGCATTCCTAAACACCAAAATTATATCACGCTAAAATAGTTGTAAAAACTTAATTTTTATTGTTACATTATTTTTAATATAAAATTTGCATTTCTGTGATTCCTCGCTTTATAGAGTTTAACATTTAATTTAAAAAAAGAAGTTGAGAGGTGATAGAGTTTTAGTTGTTTTAGGAAAGAAGGCACGTGCAGTTGCTTAAATTCAGTGGAAATTGTTGGAGGACAGAGATTCACATGTGTTATTTAATTAGCAACAGGAATATAGCAGGAAATAAGAAAGTGAGAAGAGATTGTAAAGGAATGACATAACTTGGGCATGTTAAGTATTTAATGTTTACATTGATATTGTCTGTTCCAAGAAAGGGAATTTATAGAGAAATTTAATGATGTTGCAGAAGAATTGCACCAGGCAAAAGGAAATGCCAACTTTTGGTAAAATCATCACTGTTGGTAGAAGCATTAAACAATGACAAACACTGAAAGATCAGCTTCTCTGCAGCTGGGAAAGGGAGCTGTTGTTGCCCATTTAATAAGCCTAACGGGAGATTTTAGAGCTCTGCTGGCGGAAATGCTTTTATGAAATCCGGCAACCGCAGCCAATGTAGATTTTGACCATTAGAGCTTGCTCTGAAGAGAAGACAGGAGCTTGCTCTTCTAATACACCTTGGCCTCCACAGAGCTAGCCTGCTCACTTCTATCTTATTCATTAGGAATGTAGGCACAATAATCTGTTTTGTTAGTGCTTTATTTTTCTGAGCTAACTCTTCAGTCTTCTGTAAGGAGTTTCTTCAGTATTTGAAAAGTGCAGAATCTCTGGGTCATTGGCTGTTCTTTAATACTAGTTTAGATTCCAAAAGATTATATGCTATCCCTTGAAACTAAGATATATTTTCTTTCTTTTTCTTTTTGGTGTAATGTAAGACACTGTAGGTAGCATTATAGACTATATTCCTTTTTTACTGGGTATTTATATATGTATATGAGGAAGGGTTTGGTTGCTCAAATGTTACTGTATTACAAACTCCTTGAGAGCAGAGGTCATGATATATCTTGAGGTTTTTTTGGTGGCTACCATACAGAGATATTTTAATCAATAATTATGATATCAATGCTTAATGTGACAGGCTTATTCAGAGATCTCACTCAACAGAGAAATTCCCTGAGAATATTACCACATTTAATGCAAATGTTAACATTTAGAGACCATTGTTAGCAGGTATATTTGCTTGATTACTATAAAATTGTGATTTTCTTTCTCTCTCACATGATCGCACATTTTTCACATTAATCTGAAACTCTAGTAAGAGACTTTGTTAATACAGATTGTGCTTTTATTTCTATTCTAATCATATCCTGAAAGTAGTTGTATGTAATGTATTCACTTATGAGGGTTTGTTGAACTTTCCTTTGAATATTGACTTTAATCTTCATGAGACCTCTGTTATATAGCCAAAATATTCCTGAATTCTAGAAACAAAATACCTCTCTTTTGTAATATTCTCAAAATGGCACTTTTGAAGATCTGTGCCCAGTCTTTATAGAATTTGGCTTTTCTTATTGATTATTTGGTGCTGTACTCTTAGAAATATTGTGCCTTTATGCCAAAGAGACCACAGATTATGATAAAAGAATATTCAACAGATGCTTTTCTCTTAATTCCACTACTTATATTTTTCTTCTGGAAGGACACAACGATGTCTTAGTAAAATGGGCATTTCTGAATTTATCGTATCATTTAAAAAGTGAGCTATGTTTGGGAATCATTTACTTTGACGGAAAAAATGTTTAGTATGTAACTCAACATTCTCCACTTTTGGTCTTCATACTCACACATATTATATTTATATATATGTTGTGGCTGGGCAATGAATGCAGGAAAAACTGAGATTTGACTTGGAAGAGAGAGTGCCTCATACACATCATCCATCTCCTGTCCCCCTTATGTTTATTTACATGAAGTTTTATTTTAAAACAAAGTCTCACTTTCTATTTGGATAATCTCATTTGATATTTTCTTTGGGTAGTAGAAACATTTTTTCCACTTAAGCTTGAATATTGACTGACTAAAGTGAATCTGAATTTCTGACTTTTAAAACTATTCAAAAGATATAAAAGAAAAAGTTCCATTGTGATTCACAAAATAGAGAAAAAAGTGATGAATAAAAGTGTTCAATTCACATGTTGCTGCAAAATTTATTGAAACCTATTTATTTTAGAATTCTTTATAATATTTTTTCAATATTTCTAGGAAAAAAACATGTCATTCTCTAGGACAGGGTCATAGGGTGAGTGCACTTTCTCTGTAAAGGAAAAGATAGTAAATATTTTCAATTTTTCAAGCTGTATGGTCTCAACTCTGCTATTATAGGCTGAAATCAGCCATAGGCAATACTTCATGAATGGGCAGTACTTCATGAATAGGCATTTTTAACTTATAGATAAAGAAAGCTTTATCTACAAGAAAGGCTTGTGGCTGGACGCGGTGACTCACGCCTGTAAACCTAGCACTTTGGGAGGCTGAGGCAGGCAGATCCGTAGGTCAGGAGTTCTAGACAAGCCTGACCAACATGGTGAAACCCCATCTCTACTAAAAATACAAAAATTAGTTGGGCATGGTGGCGCACGCCCATAATCCCAGCTACTCAGGAGGCTGAGGCTGGAGAATCGTTTGAACCCGAGAGGTGGAGGTTGCAGTGAGCCAAGATCGTGCCACTGCATTCCAGCCTGGGCCACAGAGTGAGACTCCATCCCCCCCGCCAAAAAAAAAAAAAAAAAAAGGCGGGGGGAAGGGGGGAAGGATGGCATTGGGAGTTATACCTGATGTAAATGACGAGTTGATGGGTACTGACGAGTTGATGGGTGCAGCACACCAACATGGCACATGTATACATATGTAACAAACCTGCACATTGTGAACATGTACCCTAGAACTTAAAGTATAATTAAAAAAGAAAAAGAAAAAAAGAAAAAAAAAAGGCTTGCAGTTTGGGTTGGCAGACATGGTCCAGGGTTTTCCAACTTCTGTTCTAGATGGTAGGCCTCTAATGGACAACGTGGGATAAACAGAAAGCAGAAAGGTAAATTGTGTAGGAAAGGAGTCCTGGGATTTATTTCCACCTCCTTATTAAGGGTAGAACCTTGGATACTTCTGCACATTTTTTTGCCAAGCAAAACATTATCTTCATTTTTAAGAATTCTATTGTATTCATAAAGATTATAATTTACAGAAAACCCTTTAGTCTTCTTTTATGGTCACAACAGAGGCATCCTCAAACAGAGGATTGTTTTTCAATGATATTTTCATCCTTGTTATACATTTATTAAAAGAGAAATGTGAAATAGTGTTAATGATCAATATACTTTTGGAACCCCTTCTGTAGAATGGGTACAGTATTGATAAAGATGGTAATCAACAGAGTGTAAGAAATCTAGACTTAAAACAGTATGGTTCTCCACACCCCCATGTTTCTGGTTAAGAATGAATAAGAACCAATTCTTTGAAAAATCCTAAAATCAGTCTATTCTAATTACAGGTCAAACACAGAACTTTAAAGACGCCTTTTCAGGAAGAGATTCAAGTATTACGCGGTTGCCACTGGCTTTTTATTATGGGATGTACGCATATGCTGGCTGGTAAGTCGATAGCTCCAGATCTGGTGGTTTATGTAGTTCATTAATCCCATTATGCACTCATATTAAGTGCCAACCAAGGTGCCAGGCAAATGTGAATAGGCATAATCCACATAATAGTAATAAGGTATTGTCCCCTCCACCAGGCCAATTACTTTGCACATGACAACTACAAACATAACAGGTTTCCAGTCAAGACTGCTAGATTTAGCCTGATGTCATAAAAAACAAACAAATGCTGGGTCTTAAGATCCAATAAAAATTACTTATAAGTATGTACCAGTAAGGACATAATAGTTCCGTAAGGTACTAGAGAATAATACTTCGCTTGTCAAAAGGCCTTTCAGCTAAAGCTCCAAGGGTATTTACAAATAGTGATTAATTGATTTTTTTTTCCAGCTTCTCATGAGAGAAGTAACTCAGATGTAGAAATAAGTATGACATTCCCAGAAGGTAATGGTCATCTAAAGGCAGAGAAAGAGAAACCAAGATAATGCAGTCAACTCTGCTAGACAGTCTACATTTAAAAGGACCTTACATGTCCCTTAAAATTTCCCCAACATCTGAAAATTTAAAAAATAAAGATGATTAAAATCATGATGCCACAGATATATTTCCTTTGATGTATGTCCACCTGTGATACCTACCTTTCTAGTTAAGGCATTAAAACTTTGTACTTGTACCTTGTTTGTTCAGATACTTGAAAACCAGTAATCATGGATAAGAGTGGGACTTTTTCTTCAGTAAATTTTATTGACCTTGTAAGATTTAGTTTAGATGATGGTTGCAAGAAAACCTACACGGTATTATTTAATTATCAAAATCATTATAGTACAATTAAATTTCATTGTTTTGGGGTAAATCATGGCAATATTTATTTTTAAATTGTCTATAAATCTCATTGTTATACAGCTTTAGCTGTGAGAATGATGTAATATTAGGAAACTACACTAGCTCAAAAATTATATGAATGCATTTCCAACACAAATATAATTTCTTTTGTGTCTTTAGTTTTTAAGATCTTACCTTCTAGCCAATGCGCGGAACATAGATATATTTCAACATGAATGGAGTGTTTACCCTATTAATCTCATTGAATTATGAAAATATAGTATTAGAGGATAATTAGGGAGTATGGGAACTTAAAATCTTAACATGGCCTGTGAGGCAAAAATACGTTTGAAGATTGTTAGAAGATTATAGCTCTAAGGAGATCAGTGTAAAATATTTGTATATTCCCAGAATATTTTTATACCCATTATATGTAAGCATTAGTTTAGAATCACTCAATATTTTTGAAGTCTTTTTGCTTTTGTCCCAAGCACAATGTGGTGCTAGACATCAAAAGAACTGAGCGTGATCACAGGGTTAAAGCAGAATCAACTGTTCTATGGCTATTCAGCCTGGATCAGAGCTCTGTGCCCTGGGGCTGAAGCCAAGCTACTGGGAGGGTCACTGGGAGACACCAGAGCAAAGCAGGGAGGTAGAGAAAGCTTTCAGCTACAGCCAAGTGTTGGGAGCCGGGCAAGATGCAATCACGAGTGTGGAATGTGAAGATAGTCACAAGGGAGATTTGATTAATTCTGTTGAATGAAATTTCTTTTGCCTGCGAGTACCATAGATCTGTTCCCATGCAATCTTAAAATATTCTTTTGCCCTCCTTACTTTTCTAATAGCCAGAACTAAAAATTCAGGTCACTTGCTTTATGTAGAGCAAAATTTCTCCGCTTATGTAGGCTTTTGAGTGCCGATGAATTTCTCCATGGATGAAGACCCTTTTCATTTTGAATTATCGTATTAATATTTAACTTTATTGATGCTGACCCCAAAATGTTACTCTGATTACAAGGTAAAAGGGGTTTACATGAACCTTTTTTAATACTTTTACCCATATAATCCGCATGTCTACTCCCTATATGAAAGACCAAGAAACCATTGATTTCTTTATTTTCTTGAGGGTTCAATCACAGTATTGGAAAATAAGTCCAGGATTTAAAATGGAATGTTATCTGATACAAGTGGCTTATGTAGGGGACAGATAAGTAACTGTGTTTCTATAACAGGTTGTTGTGCTACCTGAATGCTGCTTTGTGAAGACGCAGAAGTAATCTGGCTGTTAATCTATGGTCATCAGTCTTAGAAAAAGGAAGCTGTGTTTAGAAAAAATATAGTCTGTTGGTGTGGAGTTCTAGAGGAAAAGTTATTATCTGGATGTAAATGAAACAAAATGGAGCCTAAAATAATTCCAAAGAGAGGGACATTTATTCACTTGCCAGATGTGATCCCTGCCTTTCTGACCTTTCTCTTGTTTTCAAGATATAATTACAAGACTGGGTTGTAGAATTATCAGTAGGGAACTGTAAATGATTCTCCACTCCCTATGCTGCTGCTGTGACAATGTTTGACGCCCCCCTAAAAAAGGTGAGGGCATTGAAAATGAATAAGTCAGAAGCAAAACAGCTATTGTCATCAGAGCTTACCGCCCAGCCTGTTAGCCTGTAAGTAAAAGCAGCAAGAGCATTGTTGTCCTGGAGACCTTGCTCTGCTAGCACGGAAAAAGATACCACCAATAGAGGAGGCTTTTGTCTCTGAGGAATGCAGAAGCTTTCTAGGATGATAAAGCTACTTCACAGAAACTTGAGTAGGGGAAAAGAAATCATTAACTCAGGTCACACAGTTGGGTCAGAACAATGTTAATAACATTGCCAAGGTCTGCATTCAGAGAAATACATCTGCCAGTCCCCCATGTGGCCCTGGGGAACTCAGTCCCATATCCTGATCCAAAGCTAAACATTGCTTGGTAGGGTTTTCTTTTTTTTCAATTGTGTGATAGAAAATCGTTTTCAGTGTCTTTTTCTCTTCCTTTTAAATCCTATCCTCAATGGATTTAGTCTTTCTAGAGCACTTACTAGGATTATTTTGTACTATTGTGTCAAATCTAATCTAAAGAAGCAGCTTCTTTTAAAAATAATTCACATAGTTGGGTATTGGAATGCTTTGCTAGCATTGCAGTATCTTTTATGCACAATCATGGAAAAGATGGAACAGATCTTATGAGCATTCTCTAGAGGCCTTGAAGTGTTGTAAACCAAAGAGAATATCATGGACTCATTCCTGGAGACTAGAACGTAAAGGTGGATTTCACACAGGATGTGTGAATGTTTGGACTAAAACAAGAAACTTTCTCTTTCCTGCCCACCACCCTGCTCCAAGTCCTTTCCTTTTCTCTACTCCCTGGAGGTATGGCAAACATTTGAAATTTTGTTCTATTTTTCATAAATATTTTCTTTCTTGCTTTAACATTGTTGGAAAAGACTACTTTCTAAAACAACTATTAGGAAGGAACTGGCTATTTTTGACATGAGAAGCCTAGAAATATTTCTTGGTGTTGTGATTTTTCATTGGTGGTAGTGTTTGTTTTTTGTTGTGCTTGTGTTTTTTTTCTTTTCTCTTCCGCTACTTCCCATTGCCTCAGGCTTATAGCAAACACATCAAACCCCTCTTAGAGTGCATATTCCAGATCTAAGTGCTGATTGTCACTTGCTTTCATGGTGTAACTATAATCTCTATTTATAGAAACTTATTTTCTAGTCATTAAAAAAATCTTTGGCTGCTGACTTTTTAGATCACCGTTATTGTTACAGTTCTGTCAGCTCCTCAATTGTTTCTACTTAAAACAGTCCTTAAAATTGTAGACACTTTAACCTTGAACATCAACTGACTACTTGTGAATTTAGATGGTTTTATAAAGATGGAGCAAGACAGGTGTCATGCACCTCTGTGTGAAGAGACCACCAAACAGGCTTTGTGTGAGCAATAAAGCTTTCAATCACCTGGGTACAGGCGGGCTGAGTCCGAAAAGAGAGTCAGCGAAGGGAGATGGGGTGGGGCCGTTTTATAGGATTTGGGTAGGTAAAGGAAAATTACAGTCAAAGGGGGATTGTTCTCTGGCGGGCAGGAGCGTGCTCAGTGTGGGAGCTTTTTGAGCCAGGATGAGCCAGGAAAAGGACTTTCACAAGGTAATGTCATCACTTAAGGCAAGGACCGGCCATTTTCACTTCTTTTGTGGTGGAATGTCATCAGTTAAGGCAGGGCAGGGCATTTGCACTTCTTTTGTGATTCTTCAGTTACTTCAAGCCATCTGGGCGTATATGGGCAAGTCACAGGGGATACGATGGCTTGGCTTGGGCTCAGAGGCCTGACTACAGGTTTCTTCATCTTTGTTTTAGCTGGAGAGATACTTAAAGTATGTTAAGAGCTGATGGACTAATATTCCAGCCACTTGATTTTAGATTTTAGAGAATTTGTACCTATGAATCTGTGCTCCTGCATACCTATGTAAAAGGTAAAAGCTCCTGCATACCTATGTAAAACTATACTTTTAATAGTAATGAGATAACAGAAGATTATATTGAATATGTGATTTTTTTATTTTGCAAAAATTTTCTAAGCATATACAACGAAAAGGTAGAAAAGTCTTTGCCTTCATATGTTTGGCTCTTTCTATAGTAATCCCTCTGTCACACTCGTACTGCAGAATACTAAACAGGTGCTCATTTTCCTGTGCCTAACCCCTCTGCCACACTTTTGTGCTCGTGTGCTATTCTCAGTCTGGAATGGCCTCACACCACCTAACCAGGGTAAGATAAAGCAATTGTTAAAGATTCAAGTTGGGTGATGCCTCCTCTAGAAAACCTCCTTTGACCTACCAGGTTGGGCTAGACCTGCCCTCTGGCTCCCACATGCTTGCTCCAGTATTGGATCTGCACTGTATCACACTATTCTGTGGGAGATTCTATGAACTATGAGCTCCTTGAGACTATGGCCTTACCACTTGCCTACTTCTGACACGTGATAAAAACTCCACAAATATGGCTAAATAGAGAAATGTTTTATGGGAGTATTTAGTTGTTAGATAGTTTCATCTTACTATAAGTATTGTTATAGTTTTCATAATTCTGGGTTCAATGTTAAATATTTAAAATTTGAGACTTTGGAAAATGGTAAAATACATTAATAGTTTATAATTTATTTATCTATTTTTAGGTTTTACCTCAACTTTGTTACTGAAGAAGTGGAAAACCCTGAAAAGTAAGTAGCCAGATGTACCCTGAAATTTTTATGAAGAATAAAATTTAAGATTACATAGTTTGAAAAGCAGACTTGAAGAAGGAATTCAGTGTGGGCTAGTGAATCTTATCATCATCATCATCACTATAATTCTTAGATAAGATTTATTTGACTTTATCATAAATTATATACATAATTATATATTATAATTATATACAAATAGCTTAATTATATAGTCTACTTTCAATACTAAGTTGTCTTTTAACCTGAACATAGGAAAGAATAAAGTTATATTTTAAGTAGCCTATCCCATATAAACACATACATGTAACTTAATGTGGACTCTCAATTACCCACAGGATAGCTTGAACTCAAAAAGTTAATTATTTCTAACAATTCATGTAATCTTTTTTCATAACTATAGAATTAAAGTGAGTAATGTAATTACTGGATGATTACTTACAAAAACCTAGAAATACCTGCAGAATGTTATAGGAACTTACAAATTTGGGGAGCTGGATAAGTTTTACTCTTTCTTTCCAGGTAACAACTTGATAAGTGGATGATTTGATGGTGATTTATGTAATATTTTCAAAATGAACTAACTTAGAGAAAAATGAATTATTCTTATAATATGTTCATAAACATTGGATGTTCTACAGGGAAAAATAATTCATGGGCAAAAGAGGGAAAATTTAGGAACTATAGTATAGGATAAAATGTAGACTAAATTATAAAGTTATTTAATTAATTTTACTTTATTGAACATCTGCTATGTTCCAGTCACTGTGCTGGGAACAGCTTTCATGATGCACAAGACTTGTCTTGAAGTATTTTGTTGACTAGTCAATGAGTCAAATGTGCAAACAAATAAATGTAACAGTGTGATTGGTACCAAAATAGATTATTTATCTAATTTGGAATAAAGGAAAGAAGAAAATACTTAAGTGTATCTAGAGAGATGTTGTTTATAATAGTGTCTCAAATGGTGAGTAGGTGTTCCTTATATAAATATAAGTAAGAGAGAAAAGGGGTATGGGGCGGGCAGTGGGGAGAGAGAGAAAGAGAGAGACAGAGAGGAGAAACACACACAAACACAAACACACACTGATTTCTAGGAAAAAGAACAAGTACAAAGGTGCATCAGTATGAAATAGCCTGGACATCAAAGAATATGCCTAAGGATTGACAATTCACACTAAGATAGACTAAGAAATTCTGGAACCTGGAGTCTTGGGAAATGGTAAACTGATTAGATCTGGCCAAGTACCAGGAATATCAGAGTTTAGAACACACAAGCCAGCAATTGGTATCTGATTCAACCGCTATGCAAATCAATATGTAATTTAAACACGTGAAAGTCTATTTTATTAAGAAATACGACCAATTTATGCCAGTATTGTCATATTTATAACTGGAATTGTAGGTCGAGAACACATATTTCCCAAGAGCTAGTTCTTTCTAAGCATTACTTGGAAATGGCAAACTACCTTATGACTGTAAACCCATTGATTACAGAGATAAATAGGTTGGCCTGTCTTTTTAGTTTTTGAGAATAGCTTGTATATAAGCAGCAGCATAGAGAAAAGACAGTTCTTACTGGATATAATATAAAATATTTATTGAATTTCTTTTATGGGAATAAATTATTATGGTTTGTAACAATGTCTGTTAAGTCTAAAGACATTTTAAAGACATCAATTACTAGAATTTAACATAAGAATATTTTTTATAAGCAAATGGCAAATTGTAGAGTTGCAGACAAGACCTATAACATAATATTTATTGTATGATACCTCAGTGGTGTAGATATAATTCATATTATCTTTAATATTATTTAACAGTTTAAGCATGATTTTTGTTTGACACATGTACAGTAATACTATTGTGAATATTAAGCATATCTTTAAGCTACTTACGCCATTATTACCTCAACCCAAATTTCTGGTGTATTCCAGTAGACTAGTGTTCCAATTAAGGATTGTCTCCTTCTCTTCTTTAAATGAAGGGCCTTAGTTGCACACCACTGATAAGGTCCATGATTTAGTGCACACAGATACTAAGGAACAGTGATGGTGATGTATTGATTCAGTGTTTTTTTTTTTTTTTTTTTTTTTTTCTGTTGCAAAGAAATTCTCTTATCTCAAAAATGGAAATAATAATAGCACACACTTCACTGGGTTGTATTGATGATTAATATGCATAAAGTGCTTAGATTAGTAACTGTCATTTTAAAATTTCTATATAATTGTTTGGTTGTCATTACTACTGTTATTGTTATATACTTTATTAGAACAAGGTAACTGTTATTATAGTGTTTTCTAGAATAGTGTTTTCTAGAATTCAATATTCCAAGCAATTATTTTTCTTCAGAGCTTTTGAAAGAAATGTGAAAAATTACACCATTTTGAAGCTTGCTCTAAACTTTTAGTGCCAAACCTCATATGCATTTTTTATCTCTATTATGCATTCTTGATCCATAAAATATCTTTATGGGATATCTATGCTATCTTGATGCATGCATACGATGTGTAATGATCACATCAGGATAATTGGAATACTCATCACCTCAAACATGTATCTTGTTTTGTATTGAGAATATTCCAAATTTTCTCTTTTAGCTAATTTAAAATATACTATGTTTTTGATAACTATGGTCACTTTACTATGCCACTGAACATTAGAACGTATTTTATCTAACTGTATTTTTGTTTTCGATAACCAACTTATCTTCATTACTTTCTCCTTATACTTTCTAACATAGGTAACCATCATTTTACTCTCTACCTCCATAGGGTCAATTTTCTTTAGCTCACACATGAGTGAAAACATATAATATTTGTCCTTCTGTGCATGGCTTACTTTGTTTAATATAATGTCCTCCAGGTTAATAAATGTGGCTTCAAATAACTGATGATTTCATTCTTTTACTGGATGAATAGTATTCTAGTGTGTATATATATGTGTGTATATATGGTATATATAATATATATAAATGTGGTGTATGTACATACCATATATTACATATAAATGTGGTGTATATATACCATATATACCATATATACACCATAAATATGAATGTGGTATATATACAATATATAGTATATGTATAGCATACATAGTATTATATATAGTATATATAATATATATAGTATTATATATGGTATATGTAATATATATAGTATATGTATAGTATATATAGTATTATATATGGCATATATAGAGTGTATATACCACATTTTTTATATATATACTATTATATATGTATATATACCACATTTATATATGGTATATATACTATTATATTATTATGTATACTATTATATATGCTATATATAAATGTGGTATATATACATATATACTATATATACACACATATATAAATGTGGTATTTATATATAGTATATATATTTATGTATTTATATTATGTATTTATATTGCAGCACTATTGTGAATAGTGCTGCAATAAACATGAGAGTGCAGATATCTCTTCAGTATACTGATTTCCCTTCTTCTGGATATATACCCAGCAGTGGGATTGCTGGATCATATGGAAGTTCTATTTTTAGTGGTTTGAGAGCCTCCATATTGTTCTTCATATTGTCTGTACTAATTTACATTCCCACCAACAGTGAATTTCAGATTCAGGGGGTACATGTGAAGCCCCTGAATTTAAAATTAAAGTCTTTTTTTATTTGTTACATGGATATATTGCATGATGCTGAGGTTTGGAGTATGAATTATCCTGCTACTATTGGGTAGGGGGCATAGTACCCAGTAGGTAGTTTTTCAGCTTTTGCCCCCGTCTTGCCCTCCCTACTCTAGTAGTCCCCAGTATTTATTGTTCCTGTCTATGTGTTCATGAGTGCCCAATTTTTAGCTCCCAATTATGAGTGAGAACATGCAGTATTTGGTTTTCTGTTTCTCTGTTAATTTGCATAGGATAATGGCCACCAGCTGCATCCATGTTGCTGTAAAGGACACGATATCATTCTTTTTTATGGCTGCATAGTACATGTATATGTACCACATTTTCTGTATCCAACCCACTTTTGATGGGCACTTAAGTTGATTCCATGTCTTTGCTATTGTAAATAGTACTGCAATAAACGTATGAGCGCATGCGTCTTTTCCATAGAATTACTTATTTTCCTTTGGATATATACCCAGTAATGGAATCGCTGGGTCAAATAGTAGTTCTGTTATAAGTTCTTTGGAAAACCACCCAACTTCTTTCCACAGAGGCAGAACTAATTTACATTCCCACCAACAGTGTATAAGCATTCCCTTTTCTCCACAGCCTTGCCAGCATCTGTTATTTTTTGACTTTCTAATAATAGCCCTTCTGACTGATGTGAGATGCTATCTCATTGTGGTTTTGATTTGCATTTTTCTGATGATTAGTGATGTTGAACATTTTTTCATATGTTTGTTGGCCACTTGTATGTCTTCCTTTGAGAAGTGTCTCTTCATGTCCTTCATCCACTTTTTAATAGGATTACTTGGTTTTTGCTTGTTGAATTGTTTAAATTCTTTATAGATTTTAGATATTAAACTTTTGTCAGATGCATAGTTTGTGAGTAATTTATTTAATTCTGTAGGTTGTCTGTTTACTCTGTTGATAGTTTCTTTTCCTGTGCAGAAGCTTTTTAGTTTAATTAGGTCCCATTTGTCAATTTTTGTTTTTGTTGCAATTGCTTCTGAGAACTTAGTCATAAATTCTTTCCCAAGGCCAATGTCCACAGTCGTACTTCCTAGGTTTTCTTCTTGGGTTTTTAGAGTTTGAGGTCTTACATTGAAATATTTAATTCATCTCGAGTTAAGTTTTGTATATGATAAAAGATAGGGGTCCAGTTTCATCCTTCTGCATAAGGCTGGCTGGTTATCCAAGCATACCATTTATTGAATAGGGAGTCCTTTCACTGTTGCTTATTGTTGTTGACTTTGTTGAAGATCAGATGGTTGTAGGTGTGTGACTTTATTTCTGGGTTCTTTAACCTGTTCCATTAGTCTATTTGTCC